GTGCGCGGCACTGGCGACGAAGATGACGCGCGGGGTGTATGAAGAAGAGGCGGCGGCAAGGAGCTTGGGCGCGATGAGGTTCGTGAAGAGGAAGGGCCCGACGTGCCCCGTGGCCATCTGCTTCTCGAGGTTGTCCACAGTCACTTTGAAGGGCGCGAGGGCTCCTACGGCATTGTTGATTAAGACCTGCGGATATTTGGGAATCACAGACTACGAGATTATAATAAGGGGGAACTTGAAGGCGTACATGGAGCGGCTCTGGGTACGCATTGAGTTCCGCGGCTGCAACGCGGACAGCCGCGAGGGAAGAGAGATCCAGAATCAGCTTGCGGATGTTCACAGCTGGGACTTCGTTCTTAATCGCGTCTTCAGCGAGCTGGAGCCTGCGAGTCAATTTTGAAAATAAACGACGCCGCGTTGTCCCCGTAAAACGCGAATACAGACCGTTCAGCGTTATACCCCGCAATAATAACCAGGTTCGCATACTTGGCAATTACGCGTGCGGTCTCGAACCCAATTCCACCGAGGGACGTTCCTGTAACGAGCACTACCGGCGCGTAGCGTCAGGATAGCGGGACGAGGAAAGACAATTCACGCACCGTTCTTGCCTGCGATCTCGCTCGCCAACACCTCCGCAGCCTCCTCCGCCGTAGTATGGAACCCGAATTCGCTTGTGCTGGGCGACATAATATGTTAGAGCGTGATTTGGATGTGAATTTCGAGCTCAGTGCCCCAACTTTATATCGCGCAGATCGAAATCACAACCCGCATTTTTGTTACTCAGCAACTGCAATAGTCAGCGAAGCATTTTCAAGCAAAGGCCGGGTTGATCGGATAGTCTAAGCAAACGCGAGATCGGCGGCCTATATGGTTCAATTTACGCAACATTAGTAATGATACATAGGGCCCTTCGGGTAGCCCTGGTCCCTCTCTTGAAGTGAGCTGAGTTGTATCCTCATCACATCACGGTTCTGGATTTGGTACACTATATCGACAAAAGTAATGTCACATGCTTGTTTGGGCTGTATCGTGGGACTGGAAGCATATTTTTGCATGAAATCAAGTGTAGGATAGTGGAGACGGATCCCTGGACCATTCTGTGCTTACGATACGATCAAAAAGTATTGATGCGCCATCAGCACAGGCAAAATACTGAAAAATCCGAAAAATCTGAGTTTGACTTTCATATATATTTTTCTTGGCTCAAATTGGCAAAATCCAAAATGACCAAACTGGCGAAAACAAAGAAATGGCGAAAATTCGCTGTTTTCTTGTAACGGTTATTCTGTATTTTTTTGGTTCAAATAATTTGTTTTCATTTGAGTGACTCAATATTCGAATATATTGAGAGCTCAATCGATTTTTCATTTTTTTTGCTGTGCATCATAATTTTTGATGTATCGTGACAATGTCAGGATCCTCTCCACTATCTACATTGAGTTCATGCAAAATATGTCCAAGATAGCCAAAAAGCATCACACCACAATTATCTATAGGCCCACCAGGCAATTGAACACCAAGTGTGAATTGCACATAGGTGGACCTGAAATTTAATTTACTTCTAGTACTTTTGGTCCACTATTTGTAACCTAAATAATAGAATAAATTGATTTGCTGCCATGAAACCATTCGAAGCCTATGATTTAGATTACAAAAAGTCCAACTGAATGAAAACCAAATCCACCATGATTATCATATTTTGGGTGACCTGAAACTTTATTTGAAAAATCCGAAAATTTCCCATTGGTTCGGATTTGGACAATAAATTGCGACTGTTTCGAATTTCAGCTCACCAAAATTGATAATTGTTTTGATTTTTTTCAATTTCAGTTGGACTTTTGTAATCTAAATCGTAGGCTTTCGAATGGGTTTCAGGGCAGCCGAATCATAATTTATTCTATTACTTTAGGTTACAAAATCAGTGGGACCAAAAGTACTAGAAGTAAATTAAATTTCAGGTCCACCTATGTGCAATTCAACACTTGGGTGTTCAAATTGCACCTGGGTGGGCCCTAAATATGAGAATTGTCGGTGTGCATGTGACATTACTTTTGTCGATATAGTGTAGTAAACATATCAAAAGTTTGGAGCCAATTTGGAGCCAATATGATGGGTCGGTGCAAATACACCTGGAATCCCTCAAAGGAAGGGTCAGGAACATTACAGCCAAGTCAAAAACGATAGACATTTTAAATTTCCAAGCAAAGTTCGGGCCGAGCACCGCCACACTGCCAAACAATTCGCTCATTCCTCTACAACACTTGCCACACCTTACTCGTATACTGTACTATGGCTCGCACAGGTAACAGGCGACACATCCCAGGCGAGCAAAAACAGCTTGTCATAGTCATGGTCAATTCCATGACCCCACAAGAAATCGCGAATGCTACACATAAAAATGTTCGAACCATGTAACAATCTTGCGAACATGGCGCACAACCGGCAGCTGTGTTCACATACCACTGGAGCTAGGGAGGCCTCGTATTCTGACTGCAGTCGAAGTAGACGTGGGTTTCTGGCTCTCTTAGACTCTAAGTACATATTTGATTTGTTCACAGTTTCTTGAGGGTCTCGTACAACGGACTCCCGATGTATACACATTCGATCTTCAACATGCCCTCGCTGCACACAATAGGTTATTTGTCAAAAGAAGAACATCTGTAATGCTATTCAGCGTCGTGGCTATACCAGAAAAATGGTGTGGGGGTTCTGATTTGTGTTCGCACGGCCTGATCATGTTATTCGCTGCATTCAGGCCCCGGGTAGTCTCCCAGAGGCAGAGTAGAACAATTCCTTGAATCCTCGTGCCTCGAGATATCCTTGATCTGACGTCTGCTTTTTGATGGGGGGTCTTAGCGGTTCCGTCATTTCGGACTCCGCTGATATCACGTGTTGACCACGCGCGACTAAATATCGACCACGTCGCGCGCTGTTCTAACGTGTTCCGGGCGTGCTTTTGGTCTTAAAAGCTGACGGCCTTGCTACTTGGATGATAAGATATAATCCCCGAGCTTTCAATCGTCTCCTCAGTCCATGTATTCCCAATTTGGCCGATTCGCAAGTAGTGATGTTTGGCTTTGGCCTCAGGCCAAAAAGCCGCGGCTTTTGGGCTTTGGTACCAAAGCCAAAATTTTGGCCTGGGTTGGCTTTTGGCCCGGCTTCATGATTGACCAGGCCAAAGCCAAGCCAAAAAGCCGCGGCTTCTGAAGTACCCTTCACATTGGCTGTACAAGCAAAATTCACTGACTCGAGAGTGCCCAACAAATATCAGTTGCATTACTAGTGGCCATGATTATGCTCCACGCCCTACGGAATCACCATATCTGGACCCAAACTTCTAAACTTCCAGTTGCCGCAATCGGTTGTGATTTTTCAAGCTTTGATTTGCCGTTCTCGAGTCTTTGTGCATTCAGAAACACCCAGGAACATGTCTTTCTGTTATGGGACTTCATTGGAACACTTTTTGAACACTTTTTAGATTTATTTTGAGTGGTTGGAAAATTCACTGGCAAGCCGGGGCCCAGTCCAAAGCCAAGCCGGGCCAAGCCAAAGCCAAATGGTTTGGCCCGGCCTGGGATTTCACTGGGCCAAAGCCACCCCAGGCCGGGCCAAAGCCGCGGCCTTCAGGCCAAGCCAAAGCCAAAACATCACTATTCGCAAGTACTGTATTTTTTCATTCAATCCGACCAGGGGGGTGACGCGTGACTCAAATTACCGATTCGACCATTCGACCACGGCCGAAATTTGCGTGACACATGCAAAATTTTCAACCGTCGGGACGAAAATTTTCGATTTTGCACATTGCAGATACAATTTTGGGGAATTTCGAGGGCCGTGTGACACAAAATGTGTTCGACCAGAGGGTGGGTGATGCGTGACAAAATACCAATGTTCGCCATCGACCAAGGGGGGAGTGATGCGTGACGGTCGAATTGAATGAAAAAATACAGTATTTGATGTGTTTACCGCAATTCAGAGGGTTTCTAAGCTCACAGAACCGGAAAAAATACTCAGAGGACCTGCCGTTCAACGTGGGATCTAATTTGCAAGTGTATTTGGTGTTTAAGTGCGAAAAATCCATGTTTAGGGTGTTTATTGGTAGTAAGAAAGGCAATAGTGACAAGGCAAATGTAATTACACTACGACGGTGCATGGAAAGCACCGGAAATATTATACCAAGCATTTTTGATGCATGAGCCTCAGTTCCGAGCAGAGATACACCCAAATGGGTATCACTTAGCTCGCAGCCGCTCGCAAAGGCCAATCACCCCCTCTCGGTAACTGGATTATGGCGGGAAACATGTTCAAGTACTCATGGATGGTCCTCCCGCGTTATCAGAGGGATCCGAGGCGACATAGGCCATGACTACGACAATCATTGAAGATAATACGTAAAACTGCTGTACGGCACATTCGTGAGGCGAATCGGTATGGAAGAGGAGAACAAACACTATTGAGTACACCCAAACCATGTTCAGAACAAGCTTAAAAGGAAGAAAACGCACCGACAAGGGTCTGAAAAGGCAGGGTCCGGCAGTTTTGAGGGTGCAAGAGTGCAGATATGTTGCGGCGGATATTTGAGCTAGATTCTAATGCAAGATGGCTTCGAAGGGAGAAGAAAAACTCCTGTGTCCTAAAAAAACGAATGTTCCACAGGAAGTTGTGTCCAGAGGAAGGATAAGGCTGCGCAAGAGCAAGGGTGTGTCAATAACCGGTATCACCTGCGCATAGAATCAATGAGCATTATTTCGCAGAAAAAATGCAGTTGATGCGTCCGTCCAAGGCCAGCACCCCTTCGGGGGAAGACAAAACTAGCACCCGCGCACAAGAACCAGGCTCGAATCGAACAAGTGACTCCCGCGGAACTGTAGTGTCCTCATAATGGGATGCAGGCACGGACCATCCTCCACCGGGCCTTTCTGGTATCGCTTGTGCATGAAGTTAGACGGGCATCTTCGAAGGGACAAAGGAGAAATAAGAAAAGCTTCACTCGGTGCGTAAGACCCGGGCTCGATTCGAACGAGCAACACCTGCAGAATGGCGAACTGTTAAACCACCTGCATGGAATGCAGGCGCGGACCATCCGCTACCGGGTCTTTCTGATATTGGCTGCGAACATTTTCAAGTGGGCGTGTTTTCGATGAAACAGGGAAACAAAATCACACGGATGGACTCGCTTAAGGCCCAGGCTCGAATAGAATGAGCGACACCTGCTGTGTTTCGAATCCCCGAATTGGATGGAGGGACGGACCATCCGCTACGGGACCCTCTTCTTATAGCCTACCCACGAGATGGATGGGCATTATTTCGCAGGAAAGGAGGGGGAAAATCAAGCGGACTCACCCAAGGCCCGGGCTCGAATCGAACGAGCACCTTCCGCATGTAGAGTATAAGCTGTCCAAACAATTTAATGCGGGGGTGGACCATCCGCTGCGGGGCCTTTCTGGTATAGCCTACACATGAGCATTATGTCACAGGAAAGGAGGGGGACAATCACTCCGACTTGATTATGACCCGGGCTCGAATCGAATGAGCGACACCTGCAGAACTGTGGTGTTCCTATGATAGGATGCAGGTGCGGACCATCCGCTACCGGGCCTTTCTGATATCGCCTGCCCATGAAATGAATGAGCATCCTTGAATTAGTCTCCCAGATGTCAGACTCCATAACGCCAAAAAAATTTAAGATAGTCGAAATTTTTTGTGCTTATCTGGAGTCTGATTCAAGTGTCGGGTTCGAACCCGTAGCTGTCAAAACATGAGCAGCACGTGAGTGCACGTGTATACTCCCACGGCTCTGAACCGCTCTGGTGTTCTCAAAAAAAACGGTAATGCACACCGAAAAAGCTGCAGGTGGTTTGGGAACTTGAATGGACAATTCTCTAAGGATAATGGTGTAAGGCTATTTCGCCCACCTTGTTTGACCTGTGGGAATATTCAGGTGCACTCACGTGTTCATCATGATTGGACAGCTACGGTTGAACCGACACTTGATCCAGACTATCCTCGAATGGAAAGGGAGAAAAAATCTTCAAGGCCCGGGCTCGAATCGAACGAGCACCTCCCGCATGCAGAATATAAACTGTCCAAACAATTTAATGCGGGTGCGGCCCATCCGTTACCGGGCCTTTTTCGTGTTGCCTGCACCCATACTTGAAGGCGTATCGAACGACAGGGCAGACAGAAAGACAAGCGTGGGCCGTATATCGCCGGCATAGCATCGAGACGAGCTGTACTGAAGAGTGGGTTTTTCAATGGTGGAGAGAGCGCAGATATTTTACAGTATATATCGCGATGTGGAGGAGTGAGCTTGCCTTTGTGGCCAATTGACGTTCTACGAGAATCGTCGTCGAGGGGAGATATGAATCCAAGGACCAAGTCGGAGCCGGGGGAGTGACGCAGTTGGCCAACGAGCTCGAGGCAGTCCCCAATAAAACCTAGAACTATCTCCCAAGATTTCTACGCTCCATAAGGCCAGTCTGAGTTCACGGTCAAGGTGGTTGCAGTCAAAGTTGTTATCCACCACGTGCCCTGCGGATCCAACACGACCAAACACCTCTCCGCTTTTCTGATTCAGTCCGCCACACATCTGGCTCCGCGCTCCTCCTCGTCCCTCGCCTTCGCTCGCCGCTTCACCCACCCGCCACCCTCGAAAGATGACCACCGCCGAATGGGGCCAACCTGTGCAATCCGTGCGTCCCTCCCATCCACATCCGGGCACGCTTATCGAGCGCCACCTCGTTTATTCGCAGACCTCCGCACGCCGCCCCGCCCCGCCCGCACCGTGCGTCGCGCCATCCCCGTGTGCGACGACTGGGAGGACAATAACGTCGCCGCCGCCGCCGAGCCGGAGGACAACCAGCGTATCTGGGACACTGCGTGCGTCTCACTAACTCCTTCCTAGCCCCCACATAGCGGATCCGAAACCGGAAAGCATGCCCACGCTCATCCTCTCGCCCTCCTCCTCGCACGCTGCCCCCGCGCCCCCGCAGCCGCCTTCAAGTTCCAGCCGCCGATGCGAGATGCTCAAAGAGCGCGAGGCGCGCTATCAGGAGGTGCGCGAACCCATATTTGGCAAGGAGGCGTCGGCCGCCGCCACCGCCGCCGCCGGTGCGGAGATGCGCAATCCGCACGGACTGCAGAAGCAGAGCCCCAGCGCGGAGGCGGCGGCGTCCAAGCGTCTGCCGCGTATCCCTACCCCTTCCATCCCCTGCGCCCTATCTTCCTCCGTTCTGGTCCGCGTCCCTCTGCCCCTCCTTGTCACACATACTGCCCACCTTTCCCGCGTCGTCCCATTGCCATCACATCTTTCTCTACACTGGCGCTACTTCCGTTCGCTGTGTATCCTTCCCACGTCCGCCTCCCTCGTCCTCCCATTCCTCGCCACGTACTTGATATACTTTCCCCGCCCCCCTTTTCCTCGCTGGGACGTTTGCGCTGCCGCGCCCGTGTACCTTCCACGCCGCTACACATTCTCATCCTTCATACATCAAGTACCCTCCCCTGAATCTTCCCTTTCCGATCCTCGGGCGCATCTGACTAACTCCTGCTAGGTTTGTTCCCCGCACGCCCCCGACGCTCTGATGCCCCTCCTCGATAGCGCGCTTGCGCAGTTCGGAGTAGGAATCGGATGTGCGTTTCTCCTTCCTTCTTTGTTCTCTATCTTCTTTTCTCCACGATATGCGCGGTGTGCGGTGTGGGCACAGGCGGTGTGGAGTGCGAAGTCGTGCGTGCGATGGCGTGCGCATCTTGTGGGCGCGGGTGAGGTGGAGACCAGTCTGCGTATCGCAGCTGGCGGTATAGGTGTGCGTGCCGGGCGGGCGCTGACGGGCACGGGCGGACGGCTCGGAGAGTCGATGTCGGCGCGTGATGCTGCGGGTATCGGCTTGCAGCAGTCCGGGAGGCGAGCGCGTCGAGCGCGCACGGGCGTGACGCGGACCGGGCGCAGGCGGGAGCTCCGCGCTGTCGGCGGTGTAGGCGGTGTATCTGGAGGCCTCGAGGACGCGTGTGTCGCAGAGAGCTGGCAGGCGTGGGACGGAGAGCCAGTGGCGTGTGAGGCGCCAGAGAGACTGGCGAGCTCGCAGCGCAGGGGTGGTGTGCCCGCTGGGCCGAGAGCTTGCGGGCGTTTATACGCGGTGCTTTCGTGTGGAGTATCGGTGCGCACTCGGGGCACTTGCGGCCGAACGTGGCGTGTTTTAACTATGGTGGGTGCCATGGTGTCCGGCGGTGGGGCGGACTGAGCATCGGCGTGCGCTGACTGAGAATCCTGACGATGGGGCTCTCGGGCCGCGTGCCTCGGAGAATCGGTAGGGGTGTGTCCGCTGGGCGGAACGCTCAAAATGTTGGTGCGCGAGCGGGGTCCGGTATCTGTGTCGTATCGGACATCTAGACATGAATCCTCGAGCGGGGTACGGCGCGGGTAGGCGTCGAGCTTCGTTTGCTGGTGTTGCGCGGAGTCGTTCGTCGTCCGCGCGGAGGGCGGGCGTTGTTTCGGGCTGCATGTATCGCAGCGTGGTGCATGGCGGGGGCTGCTTGTCCCCGCTCTATCGTGTCTGAATGTGAATGCGTCCGGAGTGTCCGGTGGTCGATAGCAACTCGCATCTGGAAGTTGAACTGTGCGGGGTCGTTTGCGCACGGCACCTGCGTCGCTCGACCGTCTCTGCACGGGATACCCGCTTCTCCTTCCCCTTGCCCTTCCTTGTTCCCCCTCGAGCCGAAAGCCACCATTACTGGAGACCCGGGCTGCATGTACAAACATTCTTGTAACATCCTCGATGTGTCAATGCATGATGAGTACAATAACCGCACGTAGCCTGCCATTCTGGGTTTACATACACGTCTTTGCGAGTGACGCCGCTGACATCTGTTATACATCCAAACCCAAGTTTTTGTAAGGGTGGCCGGATGTCTTATCCTATGAGGGGTGCAATTGGCCTGTGCACTGGACTTCAGTTGCTCCATACCTACATGAACGACCGTTGAGAGGAAACTGCTTCATTACAATAATATATCCCCGAGGGAACGCTGGCCACCTCCGCGCACCCCAGCCGCGCGAGTGCGTAGAATTATTCATAAATTTAGCCACGAGAATGCAAGAAAGCAAGCGTGGTAGCGGAAGGTCCGCCTCCCATACCCTGAAACGAAGAGACTCGGGTTCACCCCATGGATCTCCTTCTGTTGCTGCGTTCTCCGAGCTCTCTAATCAAATTCCCTGCGGCGAACTACTTGTGATTGAACTTCCTTCAATTCAGGAATACCATGCCAGCCAAAGTCTGTCTGTACATAAAGCAAGCTCGTGAATATAGTAAAATGATGCCTGGTGGCGGATGGTTCGCAACCAGTGTTGACAGTCATTTTCATTCTTTTAAAGGATCTGCTCGTATACAGCTTGTTCAATTATTAGAATAGGAAACTGTCCACGGAAGCCCTCAGTCTCGGGAGCAGCCACAATGAAATATTCCGGGCAAGCCGCGAGGGGCACGGTGAAAATGCCGCCAGTGCCGCCAAACTGCCGCCGACTGCCGCCACCCCGGAGATTGACTGCCGCCAACCGCCGCCGCACGTTTCACTCCCTGGGAAGATATTGGGATGAATTGTCCGAGAGGTACTGTCAGATGTATAATCCACGCCTCGATTAGTGAAACTTCACGTTTTTGTACTACGACCGAGGCATTCAAAAAATAGTCTCCCCTCGGTGAAACACCAAATTCTGCACACTCATTGTATCACGGGTATCCCATCTAATTTCCTCTCAAATCGCAGTCATGAGCTGACATTGAAGCATATGATGGTGGAAAGTTTCATAAGTGGAACAAGACGGCATTAGAAGCAGTACTATCTAGTACTTTTCCGTCACCGTAATTACGGATCCCCCGAAAATACGACCAAGTCGTCTCCTTTTTTACCATACTATTGTTAAGAGCGGCGAGGACGGCATTCTTTCAACCTCACCTGACAGCCACCCCAGGGAATGCAAATTACGCACGATACGTCTCGAACCGAACGACGCCTGTGTGGGACTCCAGCCTCCAGGTTCAGGGTCGGCACAGGCCCAACCCATCATTACCCTTCATCAACCGATACCCACTAGAACCCT